ACATACGAATTAAGTTTGTTAGGATTTACAAAACTGATTCTATTTACCAAGAAAGAATTCAACATCTATGTAAAAACGGCTAGAGTAGAAAAATTATACCGATACATTTATTAAAACCGATTATTAATGTTAAAAACAAGTACAGCGATCCGAGAAATACCAGCGGGGTCATCCATCCACATCCAGTGATTTTTAAATTCTCAATAAAATCAAAAAGTACCTTGAAAATTAAGGTTTTCGAAGTGAGAACAAAATAGGTGCTTCATTGGGGTTGCAGATATACCGAAAAGTTCATCGATCGGAATGAACGAAGATAAGCGTAATTCATATGATCAACTGCAACGACAATGACAAGATAAATTATGAAGACTATAAAAATATTGGATACATTGGAAGCAGAACATTACTAGCTTTGAGAAATCGTCACTCACGTTTTCTTCAGGTGCTCCTTTGGTGACGACTGTCATTTCCATTGGTAATGAGAGAACAGACATTGGACTAATCAAAGAATCGATTACCAAAAAAGCGGCTGCATAAAAAAAGTACGAGTTCGTATAGTTTGAGTGATAGCTAGAATGTCATTGGTCAGATTATCTGGAAGAGATAAAGGAATAAACGCTACTGTAACTCAGACCTCACTGCTTAACTTTGTGCTATATAACCCTGATGAAGACGCCAGTGTGCGGAGTTGAAACGGGTTGGTGAGTAAAGCAAATCACATCCTTTTTAAATTGTTGCTTCGAAGCATGGATCGAAAAATGAGGATCATTAATTGTTATCCAAGTAGGCAGCGAATCGATACTTAATTTAACAGCTGTTATTAAATACTGATAATCCGTTTGTTCGGCAGGCAGGGTCACCATCTCATCCGAAAAACGCCAGTAAAACATCTTTGCTAGAAAACTTAGAGCTTTCGATAAACAGACTTAAACACGGAAAAGCTTTCGGATGAAATGTATTAATGCCGAAGCTCTCAACGCCAGAATGTGCCATAAAGGCCACTGACAAACATCTGGAATGTTGAAATCTCTCCACAACGCTGTGACACAGCAATTACTCATCCAGTGTTTAGGAAAGGATACAAGACACGCGTAGTAATTACCGATGAATCACAGTTCACTCAATTGCAAATTAAGTTTTTACGATGGTAATACTTGAAAGACTACGAAATAACGTATAATCGAAATCAAACCTGAATCAAGTCAACTTCAAATGCAGCGTTTTGAGTAATCCCGGATATCAGCTGCCGGATTGATAAATTTATGCACTGCTTTCGACCCTGCGTAGGGATCTGCCACCTGGAGGCTTATCTTACGGTACGGTATAACAGAAAAATAATATCCATACTACGTAACATGTATCAAAATAGGTTACATATCGGATGCACGGGCGGCGGTCAACCGAAATCGCGGTTTTCAAGCAAAGTTGATATTCAACATGGAAACATATCACTGTCTCCACATTATAACTGGCTACGCGTTTCAGCAATACGTGGAGCTATGTCACTAACGTGCT